TAAATCTCACTAACAACAAAGGCATGAGCCCCATGCCTTTGTCTTTTAAATTTCTTCTGCATTTTTCAAAATTTCTTCTCCATTTTTTCAAAATTTCTTCTCCATTTTTTCAAAATTTCTTCTCCATTTTTTCAAAATTTCTTAAAAATTTTGAATTTCAAATTAACGTATGCCATGGGAGTTGTAAGTTGGACGGTGGAAGCGTGCCGTCTGATGTCGGTTCCTCCTCGTGGTGGACGGTGGAAACGAGGATTTTACCCTCGGCTAAACGCCGACAAACTATTTGCTAATGTAACGCTAGCAACTTATTCATACTTTAACTTACCTACTTGGAAATGGAGATTCACGGATGTATGTAAGAGGTTACTGATTTTCATACATCGTTCATCGTGAATGGCTTAAATGTGTTAGCCAGTATCGGAAGATGCTAAAATTACTAAATCTAGTAAATTTAAAACTACCATCAATTTTTTTAAGTACCTACTAGAGTTTTTTTACTACTTTAATTGAGATGACAAGTAGCTGAAATCATGGAACTAATAGATGTGATATATAGCATGTTGTCCTGACATAAAAAACGGCGCATAGTGGATCGAGTCAATCAGAGAGGTCTGACATGAAATTTTTGACTAAAACTGCAAATTATGATGTTTATTTCGTCACATTTTTTTCAAGGACTGCCTTTGGTAGAAAATTTTACGAGAAAACCCATGGAGCCACTTTCAGAACCTTAAAGAATTGTATAAACGGAGTTAATAAGCGTTTAAAGTCTCCAAATTTTGTCCGACCTCTCCTGTTGATTTGATCCACTGTGGAAACCAATGGAACCACTTTCAGAACCTTAAAGTTTTGTATAAACGAAGTTATAAGCGTTTAAAGTCTCCAAATTTTGTCCGAACTCTCCTGTTGATTTGATCCAATATGCGGCGTCGATCTAATCGCCTTGTCAAGTATGTAAGACAATTTTTAAAAATCTTATCTCTCCTGGTTTAATTTTGACGTGTTTCAATGGATGATTGAACTATACTCACGGGGTGCTCCAGTCAAAATATCTTGGGTGTTGGTGCTCCACTCTGTGACCTCCGGCGTGTTGGTAGAGATCTCGCCTGAGGCAGCGAACTCCTCCCCGGAACCTCCTTTCGAGAAATCTTCGTCGTCCGAGTTCGAATTTGGATCTGGTGAATCCGAAAACGGGAATCCAGTGTCTTCGCTTTGGTCTGTCGGGGTATACCTCGCAACTCTCGTACTGGAAATTGAACACACTTTTATTCAACAAACAGTGAAGTTGATTCAATTTTTCTATTGCAGACGATAAAATCATAGACGATTTTATCGAAAAGTCATACATCGGTGGGTTTCAATTGTTCAGGGGCTCTGTGGCAAATAGATGGTACGTTTTTATTTTGCTCTTGGGGGACCGAAGAAAAGTAAAACCAAGCGCATGACTCCATCTACGTATCTTTTAACAATTTCAAAATGAAATTCGGGGGCTTGGAGGACAAGGCGCATAAGAGCAGTTTTTGAAAAAATTGAGATTTTAATTGTGTCAAGTAAAACTAGGCTTAATGCATATTCTGTGAAAAATTCGCTCCCAAATTCCAAGTTTTAAGCATCAAACAGTCAGTTTGAACTTTCTTTTCGCCATAAGGATCCGTGTGATTTCGAAACTTCAGTTTTTGAAAAAATCGAGTTGTTCATTATTTCAAGTAAAACTAGGCTTATTGCATATTCTGTGAAAAATTTGCTCCCAAATTCCAAGTTTTAAGTATCGAACAGTCAGTCTGAACTTCCTTTCAGTCATAAGAATCCATGTTATATCGAAACTTCATAAACTTATTTCTCGAATTAACAAACATTGCACTTATGCGCCTTGTCTTCCAAGCCCCTGAATAATTACACTTTAAGCCATGTATTCATCTAGCATTCCCTCAAGTAGCTCCTTTCTTTAGTAGGCTCCATATCGATGGCCAACGTGCGAGACAATTCATCTCCGTTTGCAACGTTGCAGACTTCCTCACATACTTTATTTTTTCACTGAAAAACTAGTCAATTTAATTCATTGAGAACTTCCTTAATTTTACTTCTTTATTAGCAGAATATTCCGTGGAAATTTCAATTTATATGGTTGACTCGTTTCTCTTCGAAAAAATAATTTAGGAGTGGAGATTTAGAAACACCGCAATGGAGTTACGTGGTTTTGAACTTTAGCCATCGATATGATTTTATGGAGGCTCAGAGAAGTTTGAAGAGATCCTTGGCATAAAATTTTAGAGAGACAATTTGAACAAATCTCAGATAAAAGTCAACAGCATAACTTCGGAAATAGACTTTTGATACTTGCAAGGCAAGACAATCGTTTAATTCTGCTTAAAAATATAATACAAACGAAAATTGTTGCAGCTTTTGAAAATTTTAGGGTAGGTTTGCACCTACCTACCTTAAAATTTGGCAAAATCGTTGAATTTTTCCCTCCATACTTTTGATTGTGAAATGTTTGATTGTACTTTTGTTTGAGTGATATTATTTGATACAACTGTTATTAATATGATATAAATATTGTTCAATAATGATAATTGTGTCCGAGTGGCTTACGTAATACTTAAATGACCCCGTCCCCTTAATTTGCAGTTTAATTTTTGATATGAAATATTTAATAAAGTTTACTTTGAAGAATCTTCTCTACAGTATTCACAAATGTAAATTTTAATTTACTTCTTTCTACAAGGGTTTTTGCGCCCAAGTGGCTAACGTAATACTTAAACGACTCCGGCCCCTGAATCTGTAATTTAATTTTCGATATGAAATATTTAATAAAGCTTATTTTTCAGCCTCTTCTCCATACAACACTCACAAATGTATATTTTAATTCATTTCTTTTTACAAGGTTTTCCCGCATAAATAATTTCGATTATCTTACCTCGGTAACGGGGACACTTCGCCTAAGGAAAGGAGGAGAGAACTATCGACAGTTGAGTTGAAGAGGGTAGCGGGGGTTTCGGAACTTAGACTAGCTGTTGAAAGGCTCGTAGGGTTTGCGGATGTCACCTCCACCGTCGTCGATGCCTCACTCTCTTTCGACTTTTCTACATCTGGGGGAGAAAAAATATCCCAAAAGCCCCTTTTGACTCGGTTTATATGATGGGCAACGGTAGAAAAAATTGATTGGCTAGATTCGTCACTTATACTATCTAAACTAGGAACACTGTCTAATTTGTTACTATTTATTTCGGCTAACGGAACACCTATTGATTTGGTATCTGAATTATTGTTGTAAGTCCTTCCCGAGAGGTCGTCAAATATTAGATCTGCATTGTCCTGAAACATATAAGAAACAAACAAAAAAATGTTAGTCACCAGTATCCTACAAATAGTTATGAAAAAGTTTCATCTTTATCTATAATATGAACGTATTTCTACTAAACGGAATCAGATATACAGGTTGAAAAGAAGGGGCGTGTTTATTAGTTCTCGGGTCGTAAGAGTGAATGGGAATTGGACTACATTTTGCAATTTGGAACTATAAATTCTAGCCCGGTTTAAAAACAACGTATGTGCCATTAGTTTCCCTATGCACATACGTGTTTTTCCAGAAGAGCCAGAATTTAGAGTTCCAAATTGCAAAATGCAGTCCAATTATAAGGCGCCAGTGACGTCAGCGGTGACGACGGAGACGATGATCCAAGTGATTCGAGTCTTTAACTCATGAGCCCTGTCCATAACGCTCTTGTCACATGCCCACGGCTCATGAGTTAGCATATAATTGGACCGAGTTCATCGGAAAGGAACAAACCCACATTTCCAAAAAAAATGAGTTAAGAACGTTTTTGGGTTTCACTATAGTTGTTTATTTCCTCCTGCAAAAATCTAAAGTCGAAAAAAAGAAACAAGTTTGTGAGAATAGGGGTGGAAGTTTATTTTCTACATTGAGCCTTTTGTAGGAATAAAATTTCAAACCTCCTTTTCTTAGTTTCAAATTAATGTGGGTTGGTTCCTTTCTCATGAACTCGGTCCAATTGGCACTTGGTTCCGTTTGATTATAATCCCGCTTTTCCATTTTTCCAAAAGGAATCACGCCCACTTTTACATTGTTTCTTATGCAGCTTACCACGAGTGGCGTGGCGTGAAGGATGGATTATCGATATATCGCCATTTGAAGCTATAGTGAAGAATCGATTACTAAGGTGTTCGCTGCGAACGCCCTGATAATCGATCTTTTAACATAGGTTTAAATGGCATAACAATCGATAAATCGCAATTCACGCCACGCCACTGTAACCACGAGCATACTCCATATTTCCCACTTCTCCAGTTTCGTTTAGCAGAAATGCGTCCATATGAAATCATACGAGTCTCGTGTAACGCAACGGCTATGAGACGCGAAGCCGTTCAAGGGGTTAGACCGTGAAGCGGTCAGGGGCTGTAGCCCCTGGGTTAAAGAAAGATGAGATAACATTCGTGAAGTACGTATTTAAGCGAAAGCGGCTCTGACTCCAGCGAACGCTGCGCTGCACTCTCGCTAGCTCGTTCAGTGACTGCCCGCATCGAAAACGCCTTCATTTAAAATATACCAGCAACTTATTAAACTTCGAAATAACCGCTGGTTGCATACACGCTTATTTGAAGGCGTTTTGATACCCAAGCACGATGTTCTACGC